AGGGCGCAGCAGGTTCTTTTCCTGCATTTGTCTGTTCACCTGTCCATCTGTCCTGCTCTTTTGCTTACCTGACAAATATTGAGTACTAAATGCATGTCAAATAATTTCGGTGGATGCTGCTAATTAGAATGTCAGAAGAAATCACTGCTCTTGCATTCATGGATTTTTTGTTGTTGTTTCTGGCAGAAACGATGCTTTTCTTTGAATGTCTTCCTTCCTTCCTTTCTTCTTTCTTTCTTTTTTTTCTGTGTGTGGTGCATGTATGTAAGTGCAGATGCTTAGGTTCCAGAATGCATGTGTGGAGGTCAGAGAACAAGGTTTGGGAGTTGGTTTTCTCCTTAGTGGATTCCAGGGATCAAACTCAGGTCATCAGACTTTTTTGGTGAGCACCATGTCAATCAATCTTTGGTTTTATTACCTTCATATTAAATACATTCCATACTGTCTTGCCATTTTAGTAGCAGAAATAATTACTTTATGAATATGATGAATAAATAACAGGAGCTGTTCGTGAAACTTTAAAACATGCTCACTGAATTAAAATTGTTGTGGAATATTTTGATCTCATTCTCAAGTACGCAAGACTGCCAATAAAATTTGCTTTGAATCAGAGGCAGAGGGTGGAATAAGCTAATAGCTGACCAAAATTAACCATAGAGATTTTGGAAGACTGAGGATAGAAAGAGAGACACCGGCAGTAATAGGGAGGGCTAGGAGAGGGTCTCAGGCTTTTGGGATTGAGGAACAATAAATAGAGGAGGTCATGGGTCACTTCTCTTCCACTTCTCTGATTATTCAGGTCCTTACCAAGATATCTGACTCCCGAGTTTTCATTGATAAAGAATAATTAGATAAATGCTTCACTACATAGTTTAAGTAACAACACAAGCTGATGAAACAATGCTCTCTGTATAATATGAATATTAAAACAGTCACAGAGAATGTTCTACTGTAAACAGAACACTATCACATTTGCGTCTCATTTTATTGGTCAGAGAACAAAAGGAATCATGAGTTCCAGAACTGCGTTAAGCTGATGTCTTTCAGATGAATCTGGAATCTAGTTTCTGGTTGCCATTATTGAGAGTTCAGATCCATAAGAGACTGACCATGCAATTAAAGCCTGGGGTTCCTGGGAGAATGGCAGAGATAGGAATAGAATTGTCACAGAAAGTTCATGCACCATAAGACTTACATTCGTGTTCTTGTGAGACCTCCATAAACACAGAAGTGGAGAAGCCTATAGTCACTCCTCAGAGGAATCGGGCTGCTGTAGTCCAGAGATTGAGAGACATTAGGTAAGAAGTCCACAGCATCTTTTCAGATGGCCTTAAGGAGGCTAAGTCCTTCTAACTGGAACTTTCTAAGGATGGGGCTGAAATTTTCCCTGTATGCCTGGGCAGCATGGGCAAGTCCCTGAAAATCCAGCGACAATTTAGACGGAGGTGGAAATGTTTCCCACCTTATTCTCTGATTCTCTGACTGACACTGAACAATTTCTCTCAATATCATGTATTTCTTTTTCACTCTGGGATACACTCTACATTCAGAAAACTCTGCTTCTCGTGGGAATTCCACTAACTGCCCTGAAACTTTTCCTGGTTCCCGGTTTTCTTTTCACTCCAGATGTTTCTGAAACTTTCCATGCAAAAGACTATTTTTATTCTTGAGTTGCCTCTTGGGGTCTTTTCAAGGCTGTCAGGGAGCTGGTGCTTCTCAGTGAAATCCAGTCCAGTAAGAAGATACTCAAGCCTGTGTTCCCCCCACTCTCTTGGTGGCCTCTCAACGTCAGTGAATAGAAAAGATTTTCTATTTTAGTTGAGTAGAGCATACATGGTGGTTGTAGCATATACATGTCTAAGTAAGCACACAAAACTACGTACATACATAGACAGACATACATATGCAAATACATTGTGTTGTAAACGCATTGCATGAAGAAGCTGTAGTTGATGGCCATGACACAGGAACCCAGATATGGGCTCTGGGACTCAGTGGGGCTTGCTTGCATTTGCTGCTTCTCACATTTTCACCCACAAGAACAGTTCTCCAAAGCACATCTTTCTATTTCTCCAAGAACTTATGTTTCAGTTTTGACTCTTGCTCCTGTTTTCTGGGGTTTATATCTTCATGTGTGACCTTTAGAAATCACGCTAGCAAATATCAGAAGATTCCAGCGTTGTAAGGAAGACAGCCAATGCATCACTTTGGGTCACTTTTGTATTTTTAATGAAGAATGGTGTGGAGTCTGAAAGCATCCTTAAATGCTCAGTTCAAATATGTAAAATTTATTAAGCAAATTTTGTAAAATACTAAGCATGATATCAAAGCTGAAATAAAATGTAGAACACACATTGCTATATGAGGGCTATAGCAAAAAATATATCCAGATTTACCAACTGGAATATTATTTTGAATTAACATTTAAAATGCTGAATTTTATGAAATTTTAATTTTGAATTATCCTGAGAGGGGTAAGGTTTTAATAACCGTGTAATTCTGTGCTTTTTCTATTTTAATTAACATGTTCTTTTTTTTGTGTAGTATGAACTCATTTCTCACAGGTTAAAATGTATGTGTTTATCACAACAAAGCTAGATCACAATTGTTCTCTTTTATGACTACATAAATTCATAAAATCTGAGATGTCCAGAACAAGCATTAATTTATCCTGACTTTAAGCCTACTTTGGCTTTTAAGACTTTCACAGCCAACAAGTTAATAAACAAGTCACTTCTGTATGTCATACATCTAAACTGCTATTTCAAAATTTGATCTGGGGTCTATAAGACGGCTTAGTGAATAAAAGTTCTTGCTATACATACCTGAGGACCTGAATTTGATCTCTGGTACCTGCTGTCGTAAGAAAGAATTGATGTCGTCTTAAGACCTCCACATAAGCAATAAAGCACATGCATGTTCACACACACACACACACACACACACACACACACACACACACACACCACAGTCTTAGTTAAGTTAACTATTGCTGTGATGAGACACTATGACCAAAGAGACTTGCGGAAGAAAACATTTATTCAGTTTCTGCTGAATAAATCAACAAAGAAATTCATACAGGAAGTCAAGCTCCTGGAGCCAGGAGCTGATGTAGAGGCCATGAAGGAGTGCTGCTTGCTGGTTTCCTCCTCAAGGCTTACTCAGTCTGCTTTCTCATAGAATACAGAACCATCAGCCCAGGGATAGCGCCATGCATAATGGGATGAGCCCCCATAAATTACTAATTAAGAAAATGCCCTACAGGCTTGCCTTACAGCCTAACTTTAGGGATGCATTCTCTCAATCAAGGGTCCCTCTTCTCTGATGACTCTAGATCATGTTAAATTGACATAAAACTAGTCAGCACACATACAAAATCTAAAAAATGTTTTTAAAAATTGACCAAAAATGCCACATTTAGGTACACCACATGACGAGATGTGTAGTTGGCTGGTAGAAAATGGAGGATAAAATTAGAGGAATCGAAACAAGACAAATGAATTTCACATACTGGCTTTACTCGGGGTGTTAGGGCTCTCAGAGGAAGCATGGTGGCCTGAGGATAGGTTTTGCTGGGAAGAATTTCTGAAATGCATGCTGGTAATATTCTGTCTCTTTAAAGGATGAGCCATGCCCATTCCTTTCCTGCTTGCAGCCTCAGACCCCCACCCTCTCTCTTCCTGTCCCCTCTTTTAAAGAGGCTGCCAACTTTCTCCCTCCCTTCTCTCCCTTTCTCTCTCCCCCTCTACCTCTCTTCTCCCTTCTCCCTTTTTCCTTCCCCTCCATAACCCCCTAAATAAATATTTAACCTTACTCTGTATGTTTTGTCTATCCATGTCTCTGTCTCTTGCCCGCCCGCCACGTGTACCAGCAGCAGTCTCTGCCTGGGACTGGCTGCTCCCAGGGCCCACTGCCTGCCGCTACATGGCCTGCTTCCACCGCTTGGGGACCTACAGCATTTCTGCTGCCTACTGCCACCAGGGATCCTGCAGCATTTTTAATAAATCTACAACAATACTGCCATTGAGAGCAATCTTGGGTTCTTTGCCTTGAAAGTTCCCCCATCTGTGGTCTATGCTTACCACATGCAGATTGAGAATATCTAGGAAAAATGCTATTCATCTTGATATTTTTTTTCTTGCCATTCTTCCATAATGCAATCTGACAAATATTTATGTAACAAATATTTACATTCTATGAGATGTAAGTAATCTAGACAAGGTTTAAAGAACATGGAAGGGCATATAAGGCACATATGCCTTTTAAAGGCATTTGAACACCTGTGTACTTAGGTACCTGTGGAGAATTCTGAAACCTATCCCATGGATACTGAAGAATAAATATATTTGTTTGTGTATCCAAGGAAATGTCTTTGTTTCCATATTTCTTCTTGACATTTTCTGGTTTAGCCTTTTTTTCTTTGTCAGTATCTCCTTATATTTTATATTTTTCTAGATTACATTACCATTTCTATTAGTCCTTTGTTATATTCTTTCCCTATAAAAAATGGAAAATGTGATATAGTAAATAATGCTGCTTACCAACTCATCTTATGGGCACATATGTATTATATGCACAGACTGCTAGACTATATGCATTTAGCTTTCTTGATTTAATTAAAAAAATCTAAATCTTCTTTTTATAAAAGATGCAACTAGAGCTCACCATGAGACACTTTATATTTATATTACTTGCCTATGTTTCCCTAATAAGAAAAGGGAGTGAAATAATTGTCATCTACTAGTTAAAATTGATTCAGAACCTGAGTATACATTTTATTATACAAAACTGGATTTCTTCTAGAGAGAAATGGCATCTGTCATTTTGGAAAAGTTGGCATGCATACAGAGGATCTGGAGAGTCTTTTTAAGGGCATTTAAGAGTCTCTTAATGCTTAGGTTCTATGACTCTGGATCAGGCAACTTAGTCTAGAGATACTAGCATTGGTGTGGCTATTTCCAGTGTCACTCTGAAAGTTGACTAAAGGCACATGTATAGCTATGACCTTAGGGACAACTGGAGAGACCAGTATCTTACCCCACTGCCTTGTATTTAAAGCCAAGTCAATAGATATTTACAAGCACCAGCTGCAGAAACGAAGTCGGTTAAGCACTCCGAATGCAAAAGAAATGAAAGCAGACCTTTTACCACAGAAGAGTTCAAAGGTCAGGGAAGAGGCAGATTCCGTGGTCCAGCCCAGGAACAGAGCAATGATGTCTCTGACTAGGCTGGCTGTCCACCCAGTAATTATAGGTAGACCGGAAGCTACATGTTAACAGCCACAAAGGACACATCACCATGAATCATTTGCAGATACTCCTACTTTCTGCCACAGGTAGGTCATTTGTATTTACCCCAAAAGACATAAACCAGTCTAAATGCTGGGGTAGGTTAACTTGTTTTTCTGTTGCATACCAGAAGGTGACTTTCCCAGAAGTCATTAGAATATTCTTAGACTTGGGCTGAAGCCTAAGACAAAAACAAGCCAGAATGGTTTTTCTTCCCCCTATTCTATGCAAAGATTTTTGGCCACTTGGAAGTTTGCTTGAACTCTCAAGCATTCAACCCTTGAAAGAACATACAGGTTCACAGTGGGACAGGGCATTTGCTGGCTTGCTGATCTCATGGATATCTGCCAAAAGGGTGTAACTGTCCTAGATACTATTAATTTCTCTCAAATCCAAAGTTTAACTTAGAAGTGTTGTAATGGCTATTCAAGCCTAAGAGTAGAAAATATCGACTGTTTTCATGCATGTTTTGGTACAGAAAAAAGAGATGTTGGCAAAATTAAAGAAAACTAAAGTCTAAAAATGAATTTAAGTGTGGGGAGATTCAAGGGCAGGTTTCCATGCCTACCTGAATATATGCATTTAACACTACATTCTGATGAGATGTGTGTATGTGTGTGTGTGCACATGTGCATGTGTTTGTGCATGTGCCTTCATTTGTTTTCCCTAAGAGTAGGAATTACATTATCCTAGAAAGTTTTCTAGAACTTTGATGTAATAAAATAATAGTTAATATTATAATGGGTTTTAAAATAAAAAAAAATATGAAAGAAAGATAATGTTGTAAGTGACGGCCACAATGCTTAGATTGGGAATGATGCTGTTACTTACAGATGGGAAAATAAACACATGAAAAGGGAAAGTGGAGAACCTTGACAAAAAAAACCACAAAAATAAAGAGGAGCCGGGCAGGACGAAAAGCAGGCCTGCAGCTCCTACAACAGAATGGCTGCCCAACGTGTGGACAACTGAATCCACAGAAAGCCTGAGAAAGCTTGGGAAAGAATAGAGTAAAGCATGGCTTCTTGGTAGCAGCAATTTCTCAGGTCTGCTCTGCTTGCTAGAGGCAAGTAAGCGCTCTCATCTAAGAGAGGCTTCCTGACTCAGCTTTAGCTACAAAACCCTGCAGCTCTTAAGAGGTCCTGCTATGAAACACTTAAATAATGTTGATAAAAGCCGACTGAATGCTTGTTTGTTTTCAGCAGTAGCAGTAAAACAGCTAAATGCCGGTTTTAAAATGCCGGTTTTCTGGGCCATCCTGCCAGGGCAAACTCTGACTCAGACTCAAGCAGGTAGTCTGACTGAATGTGGTCTGTGAGCAGAATGCTGTAGTTTCCTTCCTGGCAGAGACCTTAAAACACCATAGAGTTGTGGCAGTAAACATGGCTACAACCGGTACCTCCACCATGAGGCTGGATCTAGCTGCCAAAGCCACGGCTTTTATCTTACCCATATTGCTCCGTAATTTAAAGGCTCATGTGTTCAGAAAAAGAGAGAGAGATACAATAAAGAGAGATTCAAAAACAAAGAAAACCTTTAAATGATTTACAGTGTGTTAAAAAGATATGCAGGCTAAAAGTTAAAGTTCTTAAAGTAACAAACAAAAAAAAAAGGAAGAAAGAGAGTAGTTGGGTATGGTAGTACACAGCTTTAATCTCAACATTTGGGAGGCAGAGGTAGATTGACCTCTGTGACTTCAAGGTGTGGCAGGATACACCTTTAATCCCAATGCCTGGGAGACAGAAACGTTCAGATATCTGAGAGTTCAAGGACAGCTTGGTCTTCAGCATTATTCCAGGACAAAGAACCTGTCTCAAAAAATAAAAAGTAAAAGGAATAGAGGTTAAAATAAAGCCGCACAAAGATGAAAAATACACAGAGAATCTTAATACTGTATGCTATTATGCTCTCTTTGAATTGTTTGAATGCTGAGGAAGGTACAACAGCTGCTAAAAGATATTTGTTAATAAATGCTGCTGAACTACTCCAAGAGAAATATTTTGAAAATAACTTGATTTCAGAATTTGGATCTAAAGATATGATACTTCGGAAAAGAGTTTCTTCTTTTGTTTTCACAGAGGATGAGACTCTGTGGATTGCTTCTATCCCAATATGGTATGATAGACCACGCCCTCCTGAATGGTTGCTGTGGACACCTTCAAAAAATTAGCTTGCTCATCTGCCACCTGAGAGGAACCTAGCACACAGGTTATACCATGAAAGACCTGATTAACAGCACCCCCATCCAGCAGGAAGCAGTTTGGAGAGAAAAAACTGCACCCATGTTCCCAAATATGGTTTATATATGTTCTTTTACATTTAAGGGGGGATATGATATAGATATGAATAATTTGCATTGATATGGATTTTAAGGTCAATTTTGTTATATGTATATGTATTTCTGATCTTGATTAATGTGCTGTGATTATGTAGTTCATTTAAAAATGTAATATATATGGGTTGTTAATAGATAATTATAATAGTCAAGTTTGTAGTCATGTTAGTTAAGATTTTCTAGATATATAGAGATATATTTCAGTTAAGTAGGCATTCTTCATATATTTCAAAGATTATAGAATAAGGCATTTTAAATGTTTTAACAATTTAGGATTTTTTATGACAATGAGACACTCTGCTCCTGGCAGCACCAATCTACTTCAAGAAGAAGATGGGCATTGGAGAGGATCCTTATGGAGTTTGATAGCCATTTTGGCAAGAAACTGCTCTAGCCTGGACTATTTGCATAAACTGGACACAGAGAACCCGCAGAGAGAGGACTACTGAACTTGCCTAAAGGTGAGATGATCTTTCGGGGTTCCTGATTCATGAAGGAGTCTGCAAGACATTCTGCAGGACACAACAGATAGTGACTGAACTGACTTTGAAATTTCCTGCTTCATGGAAATGTCTCTGGATACTATGGGCCCGTAGGCTGAAGATGGATGCCCCAACAGTACAGCGGAACTTTGGGTGACTGTCCAGGCAGCGAGATGTCTCTGTTATTTCTAGAGTTTGGAAGTTGCTTATTTCTTGTTTGCTTAGGTAATATTGTATCTTTCTGGAGTCTTTGATGGAGTTGAAGAATAGTTAGTTATAGTTATAGTTTTCCTTAGTTATGATAAAGATAAAATAGATGTAAATATTGTAATTTTTACTTGATAACTGTTTTGTTATATGTAATTTTGCTATGTTAAGTTAAAGCCTTCCTTTTTCTTTGTTTAAATAGAAAAAGGGGAAATGATGGAGGAAGGTCATTGGTTAAAATTAAAGAAACTGCTTGACCTTTATAGGTTAGAACATAGGTGGGTGAAGTAAACAGAACAGAATGCTGGGAGGAAGAGGAAGTGATCTCAGACTTGATAGCTCTTCTCTCTGGGGCAGACGTGATGAACCTCTGACCCAAGATGGACGTAGGCTAGCATCTTCCCGGTAAGTGCACCTCAGTGCTACACACATTAATAGAAATGGGCCAGGCAATGTTTAAATGAATATGGTTTGTGTGTTGTTATTTCTGGTGTAAAGCTAGCCGTGCAGGAGCCAGGCGGGATGAAAAGCAGGCCCGCAGCTCCTACAACACCAAGCTCAGCCCATACTTTATACTTTTCTGGTTATAATAATAATACCTGGCAAATTCAGACATTTTCCCTGGTGCAGGACAGTGAAGCAGTTGGTTGATAACTAGCCCAAGAAAATCCTGTGTCCTGCAGCTGCTGAAAATATGCCCATCCCCTCTCCCTTATGTGGATCATTGGGGTGGTTAGACAGGCATATTATTTATCTGTGTCCAGCTCTTGTCTCTGAGCAAAATCTGCTTACACACTTGGGGAGCTCTGCACGTGTTAGAACATCCCCCCAATTCAGCCTTGACATTGACTGAGTTACTTGGCCTCACCTTATAAAGTTGCCAACAAAACCAAAATTTACAATGACTTCCATATGCATATGTGGCACTTCTGGGTACAGAAGAGTAGGAGTTAGAGCAAGAAGAAATAAGTGTCCTGTAAAACATCTGAGTCATTCTGGCCCTCCTTCAGATGAGCGGCATATTTGTTTTTTCTCTGGCCAGTGACAGGAAGGACTGCCACATTTCTTGGCCAGCCTGGATATATTAGCAACTTTTTCTTTTGCCTGTATTCATGAACGTCAGTGTTTTGCTTAGTGTTTCAGACCATGGCCCACTTTCAAACATCTGCCCAGATGTTAGTTCTATAGAAATGATTTTTCATCCCAGACCATTTCTTCCTATTACATATTTGGTTGTTAAACATCATTAAATAAACACATGGCAAACTCACCCATCAACTCGGCCAACAATCCACTGATAAATATCTGCTGGGGACAGATTTTTTCTCTGCTCTAGTCAAGAGTGTGTTGCTCATGAGATATAGCTTCTGTAATTCAGGAAAATGCCTTGCTTTTCCAGGGTTGGGAAATTCATAGTTGGTAATTCAAATGTCTCTTGTGATCAGTTAAACTGGTGTCAGGGAGGAGCAAGCACAGGTACCCTACCTCGCTGGCTGTCTCCTCTCTAAGCACCATTTGAATGAGTGTAATCACTAATGGGAAAACTGGTATCTTAATGGGATTTTGTTTTGGGAAAAGGGAGTCTATAACTTCCTGAATTGATGATGTAAGTATAGATTATTGATACTGATATAATGAAGAGGCTTAGTATAAAAATATGGGAATAGCTTTCTCTTACTCCTGCCCCTCCCAAAGCCAAAGCTAAAGCGAAGGCTTTGAAAGCCAAGAAGGCAGTGCTGAAAGGCGTCCACAGCCACAAAAAGAAGAAGATCCGCATATTGCCCACCTTTCCGCGTCCCAAGACCCTGCGGCTACAAAGGCAGCCTAAATACCCCCGGAAGAGCGCGCCCAGGAGGAACAAGCTTGACCACTATGCCATCATCAAATTCCCCCTGACCACCAAGTCAGCCATGAAGAAGATAGAAGACAACAACACACTTGTGTTCATTTTGGACGTCAAGGCCAATAAGCACCAGATCAAACAGGCTGTGAAGAAACTCTATGACATCGATGTGGCCACAGTCAACACCCTCATAAGGCCCGACGGAGAGAAGAAGGCATATGTTCGGTTGGCTCCTGATTATGATGCTCTGGATGTTGCCAACAAGATTGGAATCATCTAAACTGAGCCCAGCCGGCTAATTCTAAATATACACTTTTTCACCATAAAAAAATAAAGTTACTTGTACAATGTAGCCTATGCAAATACAGGTGGTGAGGTCAAGAAAAGTTTGGAAGGATTTTAGTCCTGTCTTTGGTTTTAGATTAGTCAGTAGAAATAAAGTAAACTCATATACTGGGGCAGTAACTTGGCTGTATGTATGAAAATGATGAAGAGAGAAATACCTGCTCACTGGATCAATGAGAGCCAAGCTATGGAACTAAAGCCTCCTGGAGGGCTAGCACTCTTTCTTCTCAAGGATAATTGGTGGGATGTGGGACAGGGTCTTAGTTCCGCTGGTGTACATTTCCATGATTATCTTGGATTCACTCTGAATTGCTGTGGGTCTCATAATTTTTCATCATATACTTCAGCAATTGATTTATACTATCCCAAAACCTAGACGAAAACCTCTCCAAACTATTTATTCTCTCCCTACCTTAGCTAAAATCAAATAACATGAGGGAGAAGGGGAGGTCATGGGTATCCCTTACCTCACACCTCTCCTCATCTCCCCTTTCTCTCTCCTGTTCGTCACTCACTTCCTCCTTCCTCTCTTTTTTCACCAGAGGCTTTTCTGTTTGTAGACTCAAGGGAAGGCATCTAGGAAGCCCTCAGTAATCTTATTAGTTCCCACAACGCTTGTGCTTACTCTCGAGAAGTGCTACGGTATGCTTCTCTGAGAATGGGATCCCAAAGTATCTTGACCCCTCACAAACCAACACTCCTACTCCCTTCAAGGCTAAGCCTTTCTGGGGTCTCACTAGAAAGCCTTGGCACTCTGATGAATCGGCATGGGCCCCATGCTTTCCCTAAAAACACCAACCTTCATTCTTCTTGAGAACTCCTTTCTGCTTTAAAATCTCTATCAGTGGTGTGTAGCTACCGGGACAGTTCCCTTCCTTTGCTTCACTCATAAAATTCTTACTTCCTTGAAAGTCACACTTGAAAGGTGAACTTTCCACAGCTTTCCTTCTGGGCTATAGCCTGAGCTTAGAAAGCCTATGACATGGCCTTTATTTCCTTCCTGGTACTTATTGTAACTGATTTCCAGAATGACTGTACAAGATGGCAATCCCATCAGCAATGGAGGAGTGTTCCCCTGACTCAACATCCTCTCTAGCATAAGCTGTCCTCAGTATTTTTGATCTTAGTCATTCTGACAGGTAAAAGATGCTATCTCAGAGTTGTTTTGATTTGCATTTTCCTGATTATTAAGAATGTTGAATGTGGTATGTTCATTCTTTCAGTGTGTTTTATAACCACCTGCTCATATAACCTGTAATGTTTGGGGGGCATTGGGAGTGTGTGTTTATTTCTAGTTAGTCTAATTGTTGCAGACACCTTAGAAGTGGTAGAGATAATGTTTACATTCAATGTGTTTTTCTTATTAAAGTCATCATAGTTCTTTTGGTATATATTGCTGTATCTAGTGATATATTAAAATATGTTCTCAGAAAAAAAAAAGAATGTTGAGAATGGGAGCTCACCAAATCCAGCTGGACCAGGTCTGAATGAGCATGTGATCATACTGGACTCTCTGATTGTGGCTGACATTGGGGGCTGACTGAGAAGTCATTGATAAAGGCACTGGGACTTGTTTTGATGGCATGTTCTGGCTTTTTGCGACCCTAGTCTATATGGATGCCCAGCTCCCTAGGCCTGGATGTAGTGGGGAGGGCCTTGGACTTCCTATAGGGCAGGGTTCCCTGCCCTCTCTCAAGCAGGGTGGAAGAAGCAGGAGGGGTTGTGGGGGAGCAGGAGGGAATTGGGAGGAGGGAAAGAAGTGTAAATAATTGAATGGAAAAATTAAAAATAAAATTAAAAAAAGAATGTTGAGCAGTTCCTTAAACGTCTTTCAGCCATTTGAGTTTCTTCATTGAGAATTCTCTGTTTAGATCTCCACCCCATTTTTAATTGGATTATTTGGTATTTTGTAGTCTAGTTTCTTGAGTTCTTTATATATTTTGGAGATCAACCCTCTGTCAGATTTGGGGTTGAGTGGATCTTTTCCCATTCAGTAGGCTGCTTTTTGTCTTATTGACTGTGTCCTTTTTGTCTTATTGACAGAAGCTTCTCAATTTCAGGGGGTCCGATTTAATGATTGCTGCTTTCAGGGTCTGTGCTACTGATGTTCTATTTAGGAAGTGGTCTTCTGTGCCAATGCATTCAAGGCTACTTCCCATGCTCTCTTCTATCAGGTTCAATGTAACTGGCTTTATGTTGTGGCTCTTGGTCCATTTAGACTTGAGTTTTGTGCAAGGCAAATAGCTATGGATTTATTTGTAATCTTCTACATTTGACATCCAGCATTGCTTGTTAAAGATGTTTTCCTTTCTCCATTGTACATTTTTTTGGCTTTTTTTTTTGTCAAAAATCAGGTGTTTATAATGTGCATGGATTAATGTCAGGGTCTTCTTCAATTTGATTCCAATGATTCACGTGTCTGTTTTTATGCCAATGCCAAGCTGTTTTTATTACTACAGCTCTATAGTAGAGCTTGAAGTCAGGGATAATGGCTCTAGAAGTTCCTTTATTGTACAGGATTGTTTTAGCTCTTCTATCTTTTTGTTGTTGTTTCTCCATATTAAGTTGAGTAATGTTCTTTCACGATCTGTGAAGAATTGTATTGGGATTTTGATGTGGATTGCACTGACTCTGTAGAATGCTTTTGATAAAATTGCCATTTTTATTATGTCGATCCCACCTATCCAAGACCTATCTAGCCACAGGTTCTTTGTCTTAATAATGGTGCCAGATATAGGTTTCATCTCATGGAGCAGGCCTTAGATCAGCTCGAAAGGGGTTGGTTACTTCCATGGCATTCTTGTCATGACAGCACAAGTGGCAAATCTTTGTAGATCAGCTGTCATTGCAGCTTGCAGGCTTCACAACATGATGATGCTGATAATTACTTTTCTCTACTTTTTGTTGTTTTGTGTAAATGGTTCCAAGGCTTACCGCTCTGTATTGGATAATGAATAATTAGGCTTGTACCCGGAAGGAGCTTGTTCTCCTTTTTAACAGCAGTCATTAGCTGCTTCTAGCTCTTCGTGTAATGATGAGGTCCTGCATAGAATTTGCTAGCACAATAAAAGCTAGACAATAGGGATGAAGCTTCCAGGTTGCCCTGGCTCCCAAGCATGCAGTATCTTTAGCAAAAGGGTCTTACCATCAAGTTCTTGATAGTAACTAAGAGCAGTAGTAATAGCCTCTAATGTTTGGAGATCTACTAAACACTATGGGCTAACAATTCAAAAATAAGTAAATAAGTAACCCAGCTATATTACTGGGATTATATATATGTAATTATATATATATATATATATATATATATATATATATATATATATTAGTAAGTATCAATATGAATCTTTCAAAATGGTTTGTTATTAATCTACCCACACACCCCACACTCCCTCCTCTACCCTGTCTTCCCAAATCTCACCACATTTAATCTTTTGTGTTCCATTATTCCTCTTCTCACTTTATACCACAGTATAATATGCCTCCTCCTTTCAAAGGATCCATTCACTCTGGTGTTCTTACTAGTTTTCTACCATAGGGCCTATGACCTCCCTTGGAATGGGTTTCTGTGTGTTTTCATAGTGGTTGCCTTCAGTGGAGAAAAAATAAAATCCAAGTCTACAGTGGTTATTTATCCCCATCACATATCTTACTACTGAGATATTTGTTAACTCAAGTTTATTGCTGCTCTGTTTACAATAGCTAGGAAATTGAATCAATTTAGCAGTATCTCAGTTGAAGAATGGATTAAGGAAATGCACTATATATGATAGAATTTTATTCAACTATAAAGAAATCTCATGCATTTTACAGGCAGATATATGAAATGGGAAAAATTGCAGGTACACAGATAAATTTTTTAAAAAATTGAGTGTGGGCCGGGCGATGGTGGCACACGCCTTTAATCCCAGCACTCGGGAGGCAGAGGCAGGCGGATCTCTGTGAGTTCGAGACCAGCCTGGTCTACAGAGCTAGTTCCAGGACAGGCTCCACAGCCACAGAGAAACCCTGTCTCGAAAAACAAAAAAAAAAAAAAAAAAAAAAAAAAAATTGAGTGTGGTTACCCAGGAACAAATAACAAATGTTTCATTTTTTTTTCATACATGGGTCCTAGCTTGAACCTCTAACTTTGTGTGTATTCAACTTTGAGTTCTCATAGAAGTCAGAAATTCAGAAAGTGGATATAGGTATGAAGGTTCCTTAAAAAGAGGAAATAATACATTCTAGTCAATATGAAAGTATAGAGAGGAACTATTGGGGATGTAAAAGTCTAAGAAGGGAACAGACAGTAGATGCTGTAGACTAGTGGGTGATGGAGAGTGTTAACCAAAATGAAGGGTTTATCATCTGAGCCTCAGCTACAGGGATTGTGTTGTGGATATACTGTTGGAGACTCTTGTTCTTTGCATTCTAATTGGTTATAATTTTCTGAAATGGTCTCTGTCTATTGCAAAGAGAAATTTCTTTCATGAGAGGTGAGAAATACCTTATTTGTGGGTATAAGGGTAAATATTTACAATGTAGTTAGGGATTATTCTGATTTAGAACAGTGGCAGCTGGAGGTTCTTCGAATTCATGGCTTCATTAGCTCTGGGTAGTTGACTAGTACCAGTCATGATTTTTCTCTTATTGAGCGAGCTTTAAGTTCAATCAGAGAGCTGTTAGTTACCACCAACATATGTGTTTTATTATTGCACCCTTAGGGTTACTGTGCTATGCTAATCATTGTTGAGTTTCACAAGTGTCATTTATGTAATTTATTACATTTATTGATTTGTGTAGTGGCATTTCAATTGTATTTTAATAAATAAAGACTGTCTGAAGATCTGAGACTAAAACAGTCCCACTGGTCAGCCTTGTGGACCAGATTATGGTAAGATGCACCTTTATTCTCACTAGCCATAATGATATGCACCAATAATCTAGTAGCCACAG